GAGAGGCCTGCATGTGACTCCTAACAGAAACCACATGTCTTCCTGCAATTTTCCATCGCAAGGCCGTGCCTGCCTGGATCGTCCTGACTTGCACCAGCCATTCTTAACGTATTCTTGGCAGACCTTAGGATGTAAATAACGATCTCTGCACTCCTAAAATGCGATTTTCTTTCATTGCAAAAATAAGACAACTCCATCAGTAGGACAACTTCACAAAAGCACCAAAACACTGAAACATACCCCCTCTTTTAGTGGTTTGCCTGGAGTGAATATCCCTTCAGTGAAGGCGTTGAGAAGCATAAGCGCGATGAGCAAGTAGAAGAACATTTTCGTAAGCTGGTGTTGCTGCACACCGCGGTTTTCAGCCTTTTAAACGAATCCGTGTGCGTCCTCCAGCCGCCTTCGTTATCTGGACCCTCTGCCCAGTTACCTATAAAATTCTATGCTGTATAACATACTCGCTCTTTTGCTTATTTTCGATCCCCTAATGTAAATAAATGAGCTATTTGTTCAACCAGTGAAGGGTGGTGTTAGTTGAGTCGATCACTGGTGGCAGCTGCTCAAACTGCCTACTTCACCCTTGGGAGCTGATTGTTCTGAATCTGGAACAGCTAGAGCTCACTTTAGACGGGGTTCCATCAAGTAGTACTATCAAAATAATGTGCTATCTCACTTTCTCAATGAAAATAGAATCGCTTTTGATGGTACTTGGACCTCCACGGCACTGCTTACACTGACAATGCACTTCTTTGAAATTGAATTGCGTGTTTAGTAGGTAGGGGAAACTAACCATTTTGCGGTATTTTTCACGTAAGCCTAATATACGATGACTGCTCATTCATTATGCGGAAACACTCATCCATCGCGGATTGTGCTAAAGTTAGTATGTAGCAATGTACCTGCAATACACCAGTGGTACGCATTTCAGTAGTAGTTATTCAATTCTGCTCAAAAAGGAGATCGCTAACACTCCTAATCGTTGTCAGATTGCTAGCCCTCTGATTTGAGAATAATAGGAACCTGATCATTTGAAGATGTTAGAACCTGAATTTTCCTTGATGAGAGTTAGAGTGATGTGCATCCTTCCAAGTCTACTCTCAATACTTTTACCATGCATATCCATCATTTCGGATAATGAATGTAGAGCCTGTTTATTTTTAACATAGCTGCAATGCGACGTGACGTCAAATGACTCTATCAGGCAAGCTGACTCAAAACGCAAATCACTTGATAACTGATCAAGGAACTGGTTCGTTCCCTTCAAAAATCACGAAATTCGGTCACTTGGTTCGCCTACGCAGTCTATAATTGGTCACTTTTTGTTACTGTCCGCTGACGTTGACAGCAAGCTGTTACGCAACTTGCTGACAGGCTGAAGAACACTGAACAAGTTGGAGAATCAAGCCTCAGTAAGTTAGAATGTTCCATAAGGACCGTTGCCTCCCTCATCCCCTCATCTAAGTGTCTCAACATACCTAGAGGAGAGGGTATAGCTGAGATGCTTACATTGCGGTATGTCGATGTTCCCCAGGCGGAGTTCTGATATTTCACGATATGGTGATTGTGGGGAAACAAGAATTCTTCACTCTTTTCACTGACAGTGATACTTATTGTATCATTTGTTCTTAGCTCGCGTGCCTGAACTGTTGCCATTGGTCAAATGTCTAATTACTAACGTGGTGACGCTTGTGTAATTTCAAGACGTTAAATAGACCAGAAGATAACATTTGTATCTTGACAAATACATCAAGGATAGGCCCAGATTTTGTAGAAATAACTTCTGCTTTGCGACGCGGGACAAAGAGAAGAGAACAACCTTGGCGGTATTTCGTAGCAGACTTCCTAGCTTTCTCAGTTTAAAAATTTGGCAGGCTCGTTTTCGTCTGCTTTATGCTTCAGCCATGAGTTTTGCTGTAGAAAACTTTGTCTCTGCTAACCTTTGACCTTCACATCGCTTTTCAAGATTGTGCTTGCTTGGTTGTCATACACCTAATGATGCGAGCACATGTATCTCATATAGGGGAGTCCGGTAGAACAAGTTCGCGATTGGAGTCACCGCCACAACTGGTGTGTCGGCGCAGTAGTGCATTGAAACTGTTAGTATAACAGGTTATAAGCAGGTGGTAATGATTTCAATATGAGTGCACGATACTGGCCCACGGGACAAAAATTTCGCCTAGGAAAGCCCTGTAAGAATTTTGAATTTCAGCAATGAATGATCAAAGTTAGTTCGTGTCTATACAAATGACCTCTTGCCGATTGTGTAACATCGCGAGCTGTTTCCTCAATAAATGGACAACCGAACAGCGCATAAGCGTATCAACGACAACATAACTGCAAAAGACAGCTACATGTCGTCCATGTGCTCGCTTGATGTGCTAGCTGAATGTAGCTCCTATTAACCATTTGAGTACCTTTTGACTACGGTTTATACACTATAAGCACCACTTCCTTGGTCAAGGTCGCTACTACAATTTGGCACATACCATTGAAATGGGAGAGATCGCTTGATGGTAGAACTGATCACAATACAAGCCTTATTATTCTTACTTGACATCGATCGTTACAGTTCATGCAGAATTACCGAGGACAAGTAAATAAAGCAACTCCTACAGCAGGTCACTGAACAGCGTGCGCAGCTCCCAATAGCTAATTTTTCTCTCTCACTAGTGATACTTCCATTAATGTTTTCAGTGTCTTAGTACTGTCTATTGCAGGTGCAACATCAGCAATCGAACGAGGAAAGTTGCGAGCATTTTACTGGGCGAAAGTCACCT